CACTGACACCAACGATGGGGCGCTATTCCTCCTCCCCACTGACACCAACGATGGGGCGCTATTCCTCCTCCCCACTGACACCAACGATGGGGCGCTATTCCTCCTCCCCACTGACACCAACGATGGGGCGCTATTCCTCCTCTCCCACTGACACCAACGATGGGGCGCTATTCCTCCTCCCCACTGACACCAACGATGGGGCGCTATTCCTCCTCCCCACTGACACCAACGATGGGGCGCTATTCTCCTCCCCACTGACACCAACGATTGGGGCGCTATTCCTCCTCCCCACTGACACCAACGATGGGGGCTATTCCTCCTCCCCACTGACACCAACGATGGGGCGCTATTCCTCCTCCCCCACTGACACCAACGATGGGGCGCTATTCCTCCTCCCCACTGACACCAACGATGGGGCGCTATTCCTCCTCCCACTGACACCAACGATGGGGCGCTATATTCCTCCTCCCCACTGACACCAACGATGGGGCGCTATTCCTCCTCCCCACTGACACCAACGATGGGGCGCTATTCCTCCTCCCCACTGACACCAACGATGGGGGGGCGCTATTCCTCCTCCCCCACTGACACCAACGATGGGGCGCTATTCCTCCCCACTGACACCAACGATGGGGCGCTATTCCTCCTCCCCACTGACACCAACGATGGGGCGCTATTCCTCCTCCCCACGCTGACAACCATCCCCAACTGATGGGGCGCTATTCCACCTCCCCACTGAACCGATGGGGCGCTATTCCTCCTCCCCACTGACACCAACGATGGGGCGCTATTCCTCCTCCCCACTGACACCAACGATGGGGGCGCTCCTATGACACCAACGATGGGGCGCTATTCCCCCCACTGACACCAACGATGGGGCGCTATTCCTCCTCCCCACTGACACCAACGATGGGGCGCTATTCCTCCTCCCCACTGACACCAACGATGGGGCGCTATTTCCTCCTCCCCACTGACACCAACGATGGGGCGCTATTCCTCCTCCCCACTGACACCAACGATGGGGCGCTATTCCTCCTCCCCACTGACAACCAACGATGGGGCGCTATTCCTCCTCCCCACTGACACCAACGATGGGGCGCTATTCCTCCTCCCCCCACTGACACCAACGATGGGGCGCTATTCCTCCTCCCCACTGACACCAACGATGGGGCGCTATTCCTCCTCCCCACTGACACCAACGATGGGGCGCTATTCCTCCTCCCCACTGACACCAACGATGGGGGCGCTATTCCTCCTCCCCACTGACACCAACGATGGGGCGCTATTCCTCCTCCCCACTGACACCAACGATGGGGCGCTATTCCTCCTCCCCACTGACACCAACGATGGGGCGCTATTCCTCCTCCCCACTGACACCAACGATGGGGCGCTATTCCTCCTCCCCACTGACACCAACGATGGGGCGCTATTTCCTCCTCCCCACTGACACCAACGATGGGGCGCTATTCCTCCTCCCCACTGACACAACGATGGGGGCGCTATTCCTCCTCCCCACTGACACCAACGATGGGGCGCTATTCCTCCTCCCCACTGACACCAACGATGGGGCGCTATTCCTCCTCCCCCACTGACACCAACGATGGGGCGCTATTCCTCCTCCCCACTGACACCAACGATGGGGCGCTATTCCTCCTCCCCACTGACAACCAACGATGAACGATGGGGCGCTATTCCTCCTCCCCACTGACACCAACGATGGGGCGCTATTCCTCCTCCCCACTGACACCAACGATGGGGCGCTATTCCTCCTCCCCACTGACACCAACGATGGGGCGCTATTCCTCCTCCCCACTGACACCAACGATGGGGCGCTATTCCTCCTCCCCACTGACACCAACGATGGGGCGCGCTATTCCTCCTCCCCCACTGACACCAACGATGGGGCGCTATTCCTCCTCCCCACTGACACCAACGATGGGGCGCTATTCCTCCTCCCCACTGACACCAACGATGGGGCGCTATTCTCCTCCTCCCCACTGACACCAACGATGGGGCGCTATTCCTCCTCCCCACTGACACCAACGATGGGGCGCTATTCCTCCTCCCCACTGACACCAACGATGGGGCGCTATATTCCTCCTCCCCACTGACACCAACGAATGGGGCGCTATTCCTCCCCCACTGACACCAACGATGGGGCGCTATTCCTCCTCCCCCACTGACACCAAACGATGGGGCGCTATTCCTCCTCCCACTGACACCAACGATGGGGCGCTATTTCATCCTCCCCACTGACTACCACCAACGATGGGGCGCTATTCCTCCTCCCCACTGACACCAACGATGGGGCGCTATTCCTCCTCCCCACTGACACCAACGATGGGGCGCTATTCTTCCTCCTCCCACACTGACACCAACGATGGGGCGCTATTCCTCCTCCCCACTGACACCAACAAACGATGGGGCGCTATTCCTCCTCCCACTGACACCAACGATGGGGCGCTATTCTCTCCTCCCCACTGACACCAACGATGGGGCGCTATTCCTCCTCCCCCACTGACACCAACGATGGGGCGCTATTCCTCCTCCCCACTGACACCAACGATGGGGCGCTATTCCTCCTCCCCACTGACACCAACGATGGGGCGCTATTCCTCCTCCCCACTGACACCAACGATGGGGCGCTATTCCTCCTCCCACACTGACACCAACGATGGGGCGCTATTCCTCCTCCCCACTGACACCAACGATGGGGCGCTATTTCCTCCTCCCCACTGACTCCAACGATGGCGCTATTCCTCCTCCCACTGACACCAACGATGGGGCGCTATTCCTCCTCCCCCACTGACACCAACGATGGGGCGCGCTATTCCTTCCTCCCCACTGACACCAACGATGGGGCGCTATTCCTCCTCCCCACTGACACCAACGATGGGGCGCTATTCCTCCTCCCCACTGGACACCAACGATGGGGCGCTATTCCTCCTCCCCACTGACACCAACGATGGGGCGCTATATTCCTCCTCCCCACTGACACCAACGATGGGGCGCTATTCCTCCTCCCCACTGACACCAACGATGGGGCGCTATTCCTCCTCCCCACTGACACACCCAACGATGGGGCGCTATTTCCTCCTCCCCACTGACACCAACGATGGGGCGCTATTCCTCCTCCCACTGACACCAACGATGGGGCGCTATTCCTCCTCCCCACTGGACACCAACGATGGGGCGCTATTCCTCCTCCTCCCACTGACACCAACGATGGGGCGCTATTCCTCCTCCCCACTGACACCAACGATGGGGCGCTATTCCTCCTCCCACTGACACACCAACGATGGGGCGCTATTCCTCCTCCCCACTGACACCAACGATGGGGCGCTATTCCTCCTCCCCACTGACACCAACGATGGGGCGCTATTCCTCCTCCCCACTGACACCAACGATGGGGCGCTATTCCTCCTCCCCCACTGACACCAACGATGGGGCGCTATTCCTCTCCCCCACTGACACCAAACGATGGGGCGTATATCCTCCTCTCCCCACTGACACCAACGATGGGGCGCTATTCCTCCCCTCCCCACTGACACCAACGATGGGGCGCTATTCCTCCTCCCCACTGACACCAACGATGGGGCGCTATCCTCCTCCCCACTGACACCAACCCACCCCACTGACACCAACGATGGGGCGCTATTCCTCCTCCCCCCACTGACACCAACGATGGGGCGCTATTCCTCTCCCCACTGACACCAACGATGGGGCGCTATTCCTCCTCTCCCCACTGACACCAACGATGGGGCGCTATTCCTCCTCCCCACTGACACCAACGATGGGGCGCTATTCCTCCCACATGATACCAACGATGGGGCGCTATTCCTCCCACTGACACCAATGATGGGGCGCTATTTCCTCCCACTGACACCAATGATGGGGCGCTATTCCTCCACCACTGACACCAACGATGGGGCGCTATTCCTCCCACTGACACCAATGATGGGGCGCTATTCCTCCCACTGACACCAATGATGGGGCGCTATTCTCCTCCCACTGACACCAATGATGGGGGCGCAATTCCTCCCACTGACACCAATGATGGGGCGCTATTCCTCCCACTGACACCAATGATGGGGCGCTATTCCTCCCACTGACACCAATGATGGGGCGCAATTCCTCCCACTGGGGGGCGCTATTCCTCCCACTGACACACCAATGATGGGGGCGCTTTGATTTCCTCCCACTGACACCAATGATGGGGCGCTATTCCTCCCACTGACACCAATGATGGGGGCCCACTGACACCAATTGGGGCGCTATTCCTCCCACTGACACCAATGATGGGGTGCTATTCCTCCCACTGACACCAATGATGGGGTGCTATTCCTCCCACTGACACCAATGATGGGGTGCTATTCCTCCCACTGACACCAATGATGGGGTGCTATTCCTCCCACTGACACCAATGATGGGGTGCTATTCCTCCCACTGACACCAATGATGGGGTGCTATTCCTCCCCACTGACACCAATGATGGGGTATATTCCTCCCACTGACACCAATGATGGGGTGCTATTCCTCCCCACTGACACCAATGATGGGGTGCTATTCCTCCCACTGACACCAATGATGGGGTGCTATTCCTCCCACTGACACCAATGATGGGGTGCTATTCCTCCCACTGACACCAATGATGGGGTGCTATTCCTCCCACTGACACCAGTGATGATGGGGTGCTAATATATTCCTCCACTGACACCATGATTGATGGGGACACCAACGATTTGCTATTCCTCCCACTGACACCAATGATGGGGTGCTATTCCTCCCACTGACACCAATGATGGGGTGCTATTCCTCCCACTGACACCAATGATGGGGTGCTATTCCTCCCACTGACACCAATGATGGGGTGCTATTCCTCCCACTGACACCAATGATGGGGTGCTATTCCTCCCACTGACACCAATGATGGGGTGCTATTTCCCCACTGACACCAATGATGGGGTGCTATTCCTCCCACTGACACCAATGATGGGGTGCTATTCCTCCCACTGACACCAATGATGGGGTGCTATTCCTCCCACTGACACCAATGATGGGGTGCACTATTCCTCCCACTGACACCAATGATGGGGTGCTATTCCTCCTCCCACTGACACCAATGATGGGGAATATTCCTCCCACTGACACCAATGATGGGGTGCTATTCCTCCCACTGACACCAATGATGGGGTGCCTATTCCTCCCACTGGTGTCAATGATGGGACGCTATTCCTCCCACTGACACCAATGATGTGGGACACTATTCCTCCACTGACACCAATGATGGGACACTATTCCTCACACACTGACACTAATGAATGTGGCACCATCATTGGTGTCAGTGGGAGGAATAGTGTCCCATCATTGGTATCAGTGGGAGGAATAGCGCCCCATCATTGGTGTCAGTGGGAGGAATAGCGTCCCATTATTGGGTGTCAGTGGGAGGAATAGCGCCCCATCATTGGTATCAGTGGGAGGAATAGCACCCCATCATTGGTATCAGTGGGAGGAAATGCACCCATCATCATTGAGGAATACCATCATTGGAATACTGAACTGAAATACCATACCATATTGAAATCAAATCTGATGTTTTTTCATTTTTATTTGTGTTGGTGTGTTGGAAGAGGGGTAGTCTTATACGGCGAGTATAGCTCAAACCCTATATTTTAACAGGAAAAGTAGGGGGGGGTCGTCTTATACTCCGGCAAATACGGTACTTTCTGTGCGTTTTGGATGCAGAAAAAAAGCAACTGAAATGCATGTAGTGTGAACTGGCCCTAAAGGTTTACATGTGCAAATTCAGATTCAGTTCAGAACGTATTGATCCGTATGATCTGTATAACATTGTGTACTATTGGTGGATGATCACATATATGTGGTTCCCCCGCAGGACGTTTTCTGAGCGCTGCGGGTCTGGTGCAAATTACAAGCTCTTTGACTTAAATGAAAATGCTTGTAAAATCGCACATTTTCATTGTTGTGAGCACGATTTGAGCCTTGCTAGTTTGCATCACAACTGCATCTAAATCGCACCTGAACCGCTGAACAAACTATTTTGGAAATTCTACACTGAAAACGGGCCTGAAAATCCCACCGCCCATGGGTGAGCCCAGGCTAAGACTGATGTTGGGTCCATAACCCTGCATTGGATGTGAGGATGCTGAGGGAGAGTCCACCACTGGAGCATGGGGGAGTGCTATCTGCCAGGGGAGCGGATGATTGTTGGAAAACTGCTTTTTACACCCCGTTCACATCGGTGAGACTTGGCATGCGATTTGCATGCCAAGTTGCACCCTATTGTTCGCAATTGGAGTGGTCATATCAGTGCGGTTCTGACTTGTTTGGAGCTGCAGCGATTTCAAAAGTAGTACATGCGCTACTTTTTGATGTGATTTGCGTATCAGATGTCTTTCAAATCGCACTTGAAATCAGCGGGTCCCCCGACTTTGAAATCGTGGGACTTCACTGTAAGTCGCATAATTTCAAAGTCGGGCTTGATGTGACGGGGGGCTTAGTGCCCCGGTCATACCGGATTGATTTGGGGAGTTGAAATTGCACCTGAAATCTCATCTAATGAATGTGAAGGTCGGTGTCTTAACATTTGGGTTTTGCTGCAGTGCGACTTCTAAAGTAGTTCCTGCATGACTTTTTCTGCAGTTTCATTACGATTTCACATACATAGAATATAATGGAAATTGCTCTGCAAATTGCAAGAAACCGTTGAAAATCTTCACAAGTAGCAATAAAGTCTTCAGAAATCGCACCTAAATTTGGACAGTTTTAAATCGCAGCGGTGTGACTGGTGACTAACACCCCGGTCACAGCAAGCTGACTTTGATTCAATGATTATTTCAAAGTCGGGGGGACATGCCGATTTCAGGTGTGATTTCCAAGACATCTGATGGTGTCTATGCAAATCGCACAAAAAGTAGTGCATGCAAATGAAATGAAATCAGTGCGGCTCCGACCAAGTCAGAACTGCACCATTTATGACCGCTCCAATTGCAGACAATAGGGTGCGACTTGGCATGCGATTTGAAAGTCACAGGGCAGGCAAATTGCATGCCAAGTCACACCCGATGTGACCAGCGTTTGACTCGCCTCCAGAATAAGTAAGCAATTAACCCTTCCTGCGCGGGGTGCAGCTCCTTCAAAGGGGAATTATTACATTTCCCAGAGTTGGGCTTTACACTTTGGAGAAAAAGCGATCTCTAAAATATATCTATTGGAGATCAATTCACCAGAATGAAAAAGGGGTTTCAGCGGGGCGCAGTGATCAGCCAAACAGAAGTTATGCAGTTGATGGTTGTGATATATACTATATGTAGCCTTCTGTTGTATTGCTTTATTAGAGGAATGATCAGGTACATTGATGGGCATTGCAGCTTTGTTATTAGAGGAATGATCAGGTACATTGATCGGCATTGCAGCTTTGTTATTAGAGGAATGATCAGGTACATTGATCGGCATTGCAGCTTTGTTATTAGATCAGGAATGCATCAGGTACATTGAATGATCAGGTACGTTGATGGGCATTGCAGCTTTGTTATTAGAGGAATGATCAGGTACATTGATCGGCATTGCAGCTTTGTTATTAGAGGAATGATCAGGTACATTGATCGGCATTGCAGCTTTGTTTTGTATTGCTTTGTTATTCAAGTATCAATGGGCATGATTGCTTTGTGTTGTATTGCTTTTATTCCAATTCTTGTTGGGTATATTGATGAGCATCAGAACCTTCTGTTATATTGCTTTGTTATTGGAGTATTGATTAGGTACTTTGATAAAGCAATATAACAGAAGGGTACAATGCCCATCAAAGTACCTAATCAATACTCCAATAACAAAGCAATATAACAGAAGGGTACAATGCCCATCAGAGTATTGATTAGGTACTTTGATGGGCATTGTACCCTTCTGTTATATTGCTTTATTTTTATGTATTGATTTGGTACTTTGAGCATTGTACCATTATGTTATATTGCTTTGTTATTGGAGTATTGATTAGGTACTTTGATGGGCATTGTACCCTTCTGTTATATTGCTTTGCTATTAGTGTATTGATTAGGTACTTTGAAGGGCATTGTACCATTGTTATATTGCTTTGCTATTAGTGTATTGATTAGGTACTTTGGTGGGCATTGTACTATTATGTTATATTGCTTTGCTATTAGTGTATTGATTAGGTACTTTGATAAAGCAATATAACATAAGGGCACAATGCCCCTCAAAGTACCTAATCAATACTCTGATAAAGCAATATAACAGAAGGGTACAATGTCCATCAGAGTATTGATTAGGTACTCTGATGGGCATTGTACCATTATGTCATATTGCTTTATCAGTATTGATTAGTTACTTTGATAACAAAGCAATATGACATAATGGTACAATGCCCATCAAAGTACCCAATCAATACTCTGATAACAAAGCAATATGACATAATGGTACAATGCCCATCAGAGTATTGATTGGGTACTTTGATGGGCATTGTACCATTGTTATATTTCTTTATCAGAGTATTGATTAGGTACTTTGATGGGCATTGTATAATTATGTTGTATTGCTTTGTTATTGGAGTATTGATTAGGTACTTTGATGGGTATTGTACCATTGTTATATTTATCAGAGTATTGATTAGGTACTTTGATGGGTATTGTGCCCTTATGATGTTTTGTTATTGAAGTATTGTTTAGCTGGTACTTGGAAGGTCACGTCTACCTCTGTCATTGAAGGGACACTTTGAAATCTGATGCTCTTCTCCGTCTGGGATGGGACGGCTGTGTATTTATATACATCTGCTGTCAGCCCCATTCACTGACAACGTGGCAGCACTGGACTCCTGTTGCTGTCATTGGGAGTCTTTTCAGTATTAAATATTGTTTGTTATTATTGTTTTGTTTCCATTGTGGAAGCTTTATAATAAACTAGATGAACCGGATTGAATACTGCCACATCATCATCTTCCAAATGATATCATGAATAACTGATGCAGAGATGTATGTATAGTGTGATCTAATCCAAATCCATGTGTCATTGAACGTACTTTGTAAGGACTGTATGTGATGAGAGGACTGTCATTGCTATGGGGAGGTGGCATGCTACTGCAATCACTCACAAGGTTTCATCATCTGCTGTGTGTGTATTGGTTGGTGCGGAGGATTTGATTGGTTCCTGTGTAACACATGCAGTTCTCAGCCGGCCCTGCTAGTGACTCAGGGAGGAATTATATGAGGATTATTTGTGATCCATCTACAGCTGGAGAGGAATTCTGTTCTATACACCAGAGGAGGGTAAGACCTATCTACTATCACAGAACATTTGACTTATAATTAGGATACAAAATATTTGTGTGTTTTGTGAAATAAACTGTTTGCCAACTTTGAGACCTCCTGTTGTAGAAATGGATTTGCTGTTATTGTCCATATTTTTGCAGCTTGGTTTTCTTCTTTTGTATTACCCAGATCCTCAAATACATTTCTGGTCATTTGATGTCCATGTCACATTGTAGCTGATCTGGTGCTGACAACATGCAGGATAATATATACTTTTAGGCTCCAGGCACACTTGTGGGGTTTTCTAAGCTCCTAGAAGCTGTCAGCAAGAAATCGCAAGAAAAACAAGTATTGCAAGAAAGAAAGCGGTTATCGCCAGAAAAACGATTCCCATGAATGCCATGGGGAGTCTTCACATCGCTGGAAAGTCCTGCGCGCTGCATCTTTGGTGCGCTTTTCACTAAACGCTAAGAGCTCTTAAACAATTCTATTACCAGCGTTTTTATTCACCGTTTTTTTTTTACCGTAAAAAAAAAAAACCTGCTAGTGTGCATGGAGCCTTAGATGGTGAACTTTCTGCACAATGGAAGGAGCATTATAATACTGGAGCTAAGGATCAACTCCTGTGAAGGTTTTTTTTTTTTTTTTGTTTGTTCTTTTTCTTGGCTTGGTTACATTGGAGATTTGTCAGTTGTTTTTTTTTTTTTTTGGGCGGAAAGGGTTGGTTTTTTTTTTGGGGGGGGTTCGTTTTTTGGGGGGGGGTTTTTTCTTAGCTTGTGGGGTTTTTTTTGTGTTTTTTTCGGGGGTTTTGTTTTAGTTTTTTTTTTTTGTTTTTTTTTTTTTTGTGTGTGTTTTTATGTGTTTTTTGGTTTTTTTTTTTTTCTCCAATTGCTTTTGTTCTATTTGGAGAAATTTCTTCCTAACATTAGCCCTAAAAGTAAGGAGAAATCTCTCTACAGGAAATCACAACAGCAATATAATCCCATTTTTAGTGCAGAGGACGACTAAAATATCTCTGGGAATGTTACTGTAGTGCGGAGAAATATCCCTTTTGGGGATACAGCAATAAAAAGTGAGACCATGACAATCTAGAATGGGGGGTTGAATGATTTGGTCTGAAGTCAAGCTTTAACTCTAGACATGAATTAACACAGATGTTTAAAGTGGACCTCTGGCTGACCCCTCCCCCCCCCCCCTTTTTTCCCCTCTTGATTACCTGAAGGTGGTATTTGCATATTTCAGATACTCCCCTGTGCGGTGGATCTAGTGTTGTCCCATTGGGATCCTCTCATGCCCTGCACCGCTTTGTCCCCC